CTGTATTTACTGTAAAAATATAAATAAATAAAAGCAACATTCATGATTATTAATAGTATTAAATATGCAGTGCATCCTGCCACGTACCCCCTCTGCCCCAGTTTTATTTTTGTGGCGTGCCGGCACTCCAGCACCTTACAAGATAGTCATTGTGATTTTTTCAGCACTCTGGCCAAAAAACGTTGCCTACCCCTGTTCTAGGATGTTCCAATGTAACTTCATCTATTTAACTGATTGTGTCTGCAAAGAGAGACTTCTTTCCCACTAGACGGTGCTGCTGCACTGTTCTGTGCAGTCAAGTAAGTCAGGGGCCTTCATTTATAAGCAAAAAACCAGCAAGGTGAAAGTTCTGTCTGACATTTAAATGGACACATTTAATGGACTCACCTGCTTAAACATTGAGTAGAAAATTCCAGAGAAGCAGTACATTACATATCATGCCTTTCCTCTGCTTCAGGACTGGGCAAGACATGAAGAACCTGCAATATGTAGCTGCGTTATGGCAAATCTGTGAAAGCTGAAGCCAGCTATCCCTGTTTTATCATCAGCATCCAAGATTTTAGTGAATTATTCCAAATTTGGGTTATTTTATAGCCAACGGGTCAGATCTTCAATGGATATTTTCTGGGATAGTTGCATTAAGGTCCTTAAGGGCCACGTATAAATGAGACGCTGACTGCGCAGTAGCTACGAAGTGTAACACAATGCTACTGCACAGTCAGCATCACCAAAAAGCCATCTGGGGACAGCACTGTGAAGTAACTCTGACTATTGTACAGTCATTTAGTACTTGTCTATGCAAGTACTAAATGACTGCACAGTAGCAACTGTGTAATCAGCGTCTCGGGTAGACATGACCAGTGACTTATATATCAAGACTCATCTGTGCCTGCTTCTCAAATAGTTCTTCCTAAACAACCATCAACAGTGAGAAACAAACTCTTGTAGAATTCAAAAATCTCACCCTGAAGTTGCACTTTTACAAACTGGTACTTCCCATGGCATTAATATCCTATAACAGCTTAACACTTTGTTATTTTCTTGAAAAGTCATTGTGGGTAACATGCTTTAGTCAATACCTGCTGTCTATCACATGGCATCAGATATCAGCTTCCAAATCTATGAGCCACTGGGCATGTCTACATGTGCAATTGGTACACACAAATAAACTCTGGAGCATATTGCTCTGGAGTTTTTTTGCTCCCAGGTGTGTTGTTTGAATGTGCTCCTGGGACCAATTAACTCCAGAGCAGTACACTCTGCCGTTTATTCATATGCAGCATGTTGAGCCAGGTCAAAGCAGCCCTGCCTGGCAGGGAACCCCAGAGTTAGCCTGCCAGCCCAGGGCTGCTCCCCCCAGCTTCATGTTCTGTGGAGGGGTACTTCAGCACTCCATGTGCTGCAGAGGGGCTTTCACACGGGGCACCCTTGTGCCTCAGCCAACCCAGCCAGTGTCTGCACATGCACTGCTGCAGTTTTTTCTGTTCTATTTACAAGTACTATCCAGCTGTAGAGCAAATTAGTTTATTGCAGTCTAATAGCTGCATGTGTGTAAACCAGTGGTGGGCAATTATTTCAGCTGGAGGGATGCTTAACAAGTTTTGGTGAGTTGTTGAGGGCCACAAGGGTAGCCCCACCCCTTGACAGGTGAACCAACTCCTGGTCACCATCTGGGATCAGAAGTCCCACCTTTAACCCCTAACCTTTGCCACTGGAACTCCATCCCCTTGCCCCCAGAAGTATTCCCTTTGGGAGGCAGGTGGAGGGGGTGGGGTTGCCATCTGAACCAGAAAAAAAACCAAATCATATACTAAAAGTAAAACATTTACTGTAGCATATTTTAAGTTTATTACAAGAAATATTTTTGTTATGATTTGTGTTTGTAGTGTACATGGAGGTGACTGCGTAATAGGTCAAAAATAAAGCCTTAATCTTGTATTTTGTATGTGAGGGAGCGTGCAGGGTGCGGTTGGGGTGAGTGTGTGTGTGTATGGTGGGGTGTGGGGGGGAGAGTTGTGAGGGGGTGTGGCTGTGTGTATGGGGGCCATAGGAGATGTTGTGGGATGTGTGTATACGTGGCGGGTTGTGGGGGTAGGGCATGGGTGTGTGGGGTTTGTGGGGTGTAAGAGAGGGTGGGGGAGATGTTGAGAGCCTCTCTCCCTCCTTCATGGCACCTAGCTCCTGCTGCCAGTGGTAGCAGCAGCACACAGGGGCCCTCAGGGCACTTATGGTACTGCTGCCCAGTGGCATGCAGCT